TTATTATTAAATTTATTTCCCATATTATTATTATTATTATTAAATTTATTTCCCAGCCTCCCTCCAGTTGACCTGGTTTGCTTCATTCTCAGTCATCTCCTGTGGTTTTCCTTTTGGCTCTGAGCATTTTGTGTGTGTGTTTTTTTTTGTTTTTTGCTGATGGCTTACCTGATTTGCTCTAACCTTTTGCCAAAAAAGATGGCCATATATGGCCAAAGAGAGAGGAAAGAATGAAGAAACAGGCTCTTGTTCTGAATCACAAGCATCACTTGGTTTTGCAATCGGCTTTTGGGATGATGCCTCTGCAGAGCCAAAAGTAATTTCAGCCTTCTTGCCGCAGGAGATAAACTGCTCCGTAAGCATTAAATCTTTCAATGAGAGCCAGAGCAAAATGGAAGAGCAACTCTGAAGGAACTAGATCTGATCCTGAAAGGGATTTTGGCATCCATGGCATATCCTGGAATTAGTTCCAGAATAATCCTGAATTGTTAAGATATAGCATTGAATAGCAAAGTTAGGATAATGGTCCATGCCAGGGTGTTTCCCCACAATCCTAATTTATTCTTATTCTTATTCTTATTATTATTATTAAAGTTTATTTCTAGAGTGCCGTCAGCGTACACAGCGCTGTGCAAAAGACAATCAAGCATAAAACAGAATTAAAACCTGCCAAAGGCGTACAGTCTAAGTACAAAACAATAGATAAAAAAGTCAATTAAAACAAACAAACAGAAAAAAACAGGTTTCTATGTCAGTTCTTTGGTATCTACAGATGACAGTTAAAGCGATGCCAAATTGCATTGTTTCTACAGTGTCGATGCACCCTCGGTTATTTCTGCCTCGAGGGCTGCATCGACACTGTAGAAATAATGCAGTTTGACACCACTTTATAACTGCCTTAAGTAGTAGTTACAGCTCTTTGATCCCATGCAAGCTGCATATGGAGTTTTTGGGATTTGCAGTTTGCTGAAGCATTTGATCTCTCTGGTGGAGATTTCTAGGTATCTTTTCTATACTAAAAAAAAAATCAAAAATCCCAAGACTCTGCAAGATGGAGCCATGGCTGTTAATGTGATTGTCAAAGGGCCATAACCATGTAGTGCAAAAGAGACTATTGGGTGGCCTTGAGTTCTTGGGTTGTGAAAGAGGGACAAAGAGGGGAAAGTTGTCATGCTTTCAAGCACTGTGCCGCCAGGCTATTTCCTGACCTGCCTCATGCTGTCTCTGTTGATATCCCCACCAGTTCCCTCTTCTTCCTTCTCCTGCCATGACCTTCCACTTCATCATGGTCTTTGCTTGGCCTCCAGCCCAACTTTTACGGGCCACGAAGTCATCTGAAAATCCTCTCCTCCCTTTGGCACCCATGGCAGCGATCCATCAGCTTGAGAAGACAATGGGACTCCACCGAGCTGCAAAAGTAACTTCTGAAATGTCAGGGGAGAGCAGGATGTCTCGATTTTGCTGAGTTGCGGGAGACGAGGGACAAAAATACTCCACCCCACACAGCTGGTTCCTTTCCACTTGCGAAAAGGTTATGCTACAGGAAGCGCCAACGGAGAGCATCAGCATTTCTGCACAACCAGCCCTGAGAAGTCACATTTCAACTAGCCCCAACTTAGATGGCCTGGAATGACTAATGCAAACCACAATAGGTTTGATGAATATTATGCAGCGTTGCTGGGAACTGCAGCCTATTGCTGTTCTTATTGCTATGGGGCCTTCAAGTCAACTCCAACTTTTAGGTCCATCTTCTCATAGTGGGACTTGACCAAGGTCAATCAAGGGTCTTCCATGGCTGAAGGGGATTTGAACCCTGCTCTTCCAGAGTAGCATGGACTTGGGAATCACGAGTTAAAAGACATGTTCTGTTTCAGGAATGGACAAAACACAGCTGTCTAAGATGCTGATGAATGGGAATCCTCCTCAGTCTCTAACCAAAATAGTCAATGGAGTTGATAAGTGGAAGGTGCCATTCAGCAACGTCTGTTTGCCTAGTCTACATTTGGTTGAAAGATGTATTTTAAAAGCAGTGTCATCACCAGGTTGGTGTCACCTCCATGACCTCCTGGGGCAAGATGACTAGACATCCTCCTTTTCCAAGACATGTCCTACATTTCAACCTTCTGTCCAGGAAGAATTCCAAAACATCCTTCATTTTGAGTATGGCTAAGAAGCCCATTGTGGAGCACATCAATTGCTGATCCTCTTCAAGAAATATGCCTGTCCACACTGCAAATTGGGGGATAGGCTGGATCCTTCTAAAATTCCTTTTTGCAGCAGACAAGACTTGCACCCATAGCTCAGGATTTGTTTGTTTCTTGGAGGGGAAAAGAACAGCAAAGGTGTGAGATCACTGGCTGCTTCAGGACGCAATGCAAATGTTGAAAAAGGTGGCTTTCCCCCCTTCATTTCAGCATAATGACAGGAATAATTTAAATGGAGATTCAGTCAAGGGTTTGTTGCCAGCAAAGTACAATTTGAAGCCTTTGTCTTGCTCGGAGTTCTATAAATATATTGCAAGACAACAAGGCATTGTAATGGAAAAAGAAATCATCCAAAAAGTACCATTGAGCACATAATAAAATGATAAGAATAAAATTAATAATAAAGAACTAGAGAAGATCTTATGGAGTAAAGATATACAACTGAGAACAAAAGTTAAAATTACATAGGTCATTGTATTCCCTATTAACATGTACAGATGCAAGAGCTGGACCATAAAGAAAGTGGACAAGGGGGGGGGGAATCTTTTGAGATGTGGTGCTGGAGAAGAGTGCTGAGGATCCCATGGATGGCCAAAAAGACAAACAAATGGGTCCTAGAACAGATCAAGCCAGAGATATCCCTAGAAGCCAAGATGACAAGACTTAGAAGAGTGCTGAGGATCCCATGGACAGCCAAAAAGACAAACAAGATCAAGCCCTAACCCTAACCCTAACCCTAACCCTAGAAGTCAAGACTTAGAAGAGTGCTGAGGATACCAGGGATGGCCAAAAAGACAAACAAATGGGTCCTTGAACAGATCAAGCCTGGAATCTCCCTGGAAGCCAAGATGACTAAACTTTGGCCATAGCATGAATCATTGGAAAAGACAATAATGCTAGGAAAGGTAGAGGAAAGTAGAAAGGGAGACTCATGTAGTTAGTAGCTCCCATGACAAAGGAGTGGCGAATCTACTCCAGGTTTTAATACAAGGTGTTCTTCAAGGTGCCGCCCTTATTCCAAATTAGGACCAGCACCTTGGATAGCTCCTGCAAACCTGGTCAAGAACTCAGGACTGGATTCCCTGTCATAGGAGCTGGTGGTAAGTAGTCACCCTACCTAAGATTCACATCTACTACTGGCCTCCACCACAAAGTCCAACCCATCTTCCAACTCACATCTGGGAAGCTTTCCTTCTTTCCGTCTCTCACGTTGGACCGATTTTGGTTATTCCATCCCTGTATGCATAAATAGGTCTCTCGCACGAGGAGTTGCCATGACAATGGTTGTGAAAGAGACTTATAACACATTAGTCATGGGGAGGTGGGAGAGAAGAACTGTAAACACTTCTGAGTTTAATTGGAAAATGTTTCATTCTTCTAGAATTCTTTTTTCTTAATGTCTTCTGAGCAAAAAATGACACACTCCTGGTTCATTGAATTCATTAACAGTGACAGGTAGGTAGGTATTTTAAAAGCTTGGAAAGATTATTTTTGTGGAATATGGTTGCTAGAACACCCCAGCCAGCATGGCCACTGGGGATGCTGGGATCTTTAGTCCAACCATTCTTCCCCCATGTTCTGGGTAGGAACTTTCAGAACTGAGCTTTGCAAGCATCTCTTCCTAACTGAGCAACCTTCAAAATGTGGGAAGTTTGGAAGTGAGACTGGGACAGAGCTTAATCGCGCATAGCCATGTGGCCCACTGAAGTCAGAGAGCACACACCCGTAATAGCACCCAATGAAAAGAGTGGAGCCGATTTAGGTCAGTTGAATATAATTACCCAAGTTGGAGGGTGGCCAAGACACCTGAGCGTTTGCTGTTGCTCCTTCCAGCTACATTGCCTCGGGGACTCGACTCGGAAGCACAAAGAAGCTGAACTCTGCCTGGGGAGATATTTAACAGCTATACAGAGGCCTGAAATCCCTAAAGTAGCTTGCTCCATTCAGATAACTGGTTAGTGATTACGGAAAACATCTCCCTCAATTAAATTCAAGTTAAAGGTGATTGCTACAGAGAGGAAACCTGGACAGTTAGGTGTTTTGTTTGGGTCTATATGGTTGGCTGAGATAGTGACACCTTTGCTTTCTGATGGTTCAGTGTACACAGCCTTTGTGTCATGCTTCTTTCTTCTTCTTTTTGTGTGCCTACAAGTTGTTTCTGACTTATGGTGACCCTATCATAGAGTTTTCTTGGCAAGTTTCTTCAGAGGGGGGTTCCCATTGCCATCTCTGAGGTTGAGAGAGTGTGACTTGCCCATGGTCACCCAATGGGATTACATGACCAAGCTGAGACTCGAACCCTGATCTCCAGAATCATAGTCCAATGCTCAAACCGCTACGCCACACTGGCTAAAATTATTTTAAAATGTTGTATAACATTACCTTCTGGCTATGTCTGTAAGGTGTATATGAAACAGAAATGAGTTTTGTGTTTAGACTTGGATCTCATCTCTAAGATATCTCACTATGTGCATATATGCATATAAAGGTATTCCAAAATCCAAAAAAAGTCTGAAATTCAAAACACCTGGAACCAAGCATTTTGAATAAGTGAGACTCATTGATTATGCTGGCTGGGGCTTCTGGGAGTTGAAGTCCAAAACCCCTGGAGAACCAAAGTTTGGGAACCACCGAGCTAGAGCATCCCCAGCAGGTAGCTGCCTTGCTTCTTTGTGAAGATATTTAGAGAAGGAGACCCACACCACCTTTCTGGGCAATTGGTTTAGGATACAATGAAGCTCTCTAGCAAAGAACTCTAGTACCTCATCAAACTACAAATCCCGGGATTCCATAGGATGGATCCATGACAGTGCTCTAGCTGTGGAGTGTAGTAAATAGCCTCCTGGTTTACAGAAACAAGATGGGCTGTCTGTCGTGTACAGCTTCTTTGCTTTTAATGTCACAGAAAAACGAGGACAGCTAACTCTTATAGCACCAGGGATTTGTAGCTCTGTCAGGAACTGTGCCGCTCCAGAAGAAGGTCAAGTGAAAGGTTCTTTTTTCAATCACACTGTAATTGCACTTGAATTAATTCTGCAGCGACTAAGCTCTCGGCTGAGTCTTTCCTACAGCGTGAAACATGCAAGCAACAGAGGCTATGAGAGCAGGACAACTTGTGGACTGGTGTTTCCATGCTCCTGCACTCTTTGCTGTGGTAGATGGGAGCTGCAGTCCTTCTGCATCTGGTGGGCTGCATGTACCCCAGCAGGATGTGCTAGTTTGCCCTAGTTGCTCCCTTTAAGTAAGCGGAAACAAAAGGGAGGTTTAAGTGCCTTCTGTATAAAAGAATTGGCTCAGTCTGTCACATCGGTTTCCTTTTTCTGGGGTTCCTTGCAAACGCTGGGCATTGCCAAGAGATGGTTTGGGTGAGACATGTTTTACTGCCTCTTTGCAACTTGCTTGGCACATGATGCATGCTAAAACCTAAGCTAATAGGAGAACATTTAAGAAGAAAAAACACCCACGTGCCCATTGAAGCATTAAGCATCCTTGCCGCTTTCAGCTGGAAAGATTAGGAGCATCTCCATGGGGTTCCAGACACTGCGGTCAGCTCTGTAATCCGACTTAGATGTGCTCCAAGTCTCTGGGGTGTTGAACAACATATGTTGGTCAAAGAGACTATTATTCCCTTCATTGTTAGAAGTCACATTTAGTGAAAAAGCAAAGACCTGTTGGGATGGTAGATGGAGAAAGGGGGTCCTCCTCCGTCTAGGGTGGCCACATCCATCATGAAACAAGAGAGCGAGGAAAGCTATAAAATGTCTCCAAAGTACAGGTGCAGAAATGAGAATTATTATTTAAACAGGGTTGCATTACAGTGGGCCCCTGATATTCTGCTGGGGTTTGGTTCCCGGATTCCTCGTGGGTACCAAAATCTGTGGATGCTCAATTTCCATTAAGTACAATGGTGTGGTAATATGGTGCCCTTATATAAAATGGCAAAAACAAGATTTGGTTTGGGAATTTAAGGAAGGGGGCAATGACTCCGGACAGAACCACAGGGCACTGGTAATCCAGACAGGGCAGTGCAAAGTCAGGGGTGCCTTGCACCTAGAAAGAAAACTATCCCCACATTTTGTGGTCTCCCATAGTGTGGCATGAGTCCTTGCTACACAACAACACATCTTGTGTGGTGTGTTGTTATGTGGTGGGAGCCCCTGTTGTGAAACAGGACATCTTACACAGTGTCATGCTATACACTGGTGCAATTGCCTAACATGGTTCTGTATTTTGTCAGGAACACAGCTCCGTCATTGTAAAGGTGTGCATTGCAGACTGTGATACAAGAGCTCAGCCCAGATTGGGAGTATTATATCATCATCATCATCATCATCATCATCATCATCATCATTGTTATTGTTGGCTTTTTCCTCCAAGAATCTGTGGTTTCTGTAACTTCTTGAGGATGCAGTGAGAAACTCCTTTGGGTAAAAGTAGGGAAGGAAAGAATACATGTTTTCTATTTGTTTCCTGGCTAAGAAGGAGATTTCCAACACTTGGGATATCTGTCAGGAAGAATACCAACAACCACTGAGAAATTCTTGGCTGTTCAGTAAAAAATTCAGCTGCACAGAAATTTACCCATTTTTTTTTTTGACACAAACATGAGTTTTCTGTACAGAAAATGTTTCTGAATTGACAACCTACATGTAATTCTAAATGGAAAAAAAATTAAAAAAATATTTCTGCACAGAAAAAAAATCAAGTGTACTTCTGTGCAGGAAAACCACATATGTTTCTGTACAGAACCCACAGGTGTATTTATGCATTCTCTGCATATATATTTCTGTGCAAAAAAAAAAGTGTTTTTGCACCAGAAAAAAACTGGTGCAGAAAGTATGTTTTCTGTACAGAAATAGTTTTGTGGGGGGAAACCCACATGTATTTTGGTATGTAGAAAATGTGTTTTCTGTGCAGAAAATGATTTTTATTTTATTTTTTATTTTTTTGCAGAGAAAATTGGGTTTTTATGCAACTCCCCCCACTGACAAATACTATTTAACATGTTTCTGTGCAGGAAAAAATGTGCATTTTTGCACAGATCAATACTTCCCAAAGTGCAAACAGTGACAGGGCATTACAAAAAGGTCTTCTTGTCCAGCAGGTAGAATATTAGAGAAATTATTTGTTCCTCCCGACTGAGATGAATATCATAAACATTAACATTCCTAATTGGGAGATATTTTCTGGGGGTAGTTTAAACAATCTGAAACCAAAATAAGACAGACATATAAGATCTGATGCTCTGCATTGCATATGGAAGAGTATAGTTTTTCCTACAGCTTCAACATATTCTTGTCCAAACCCCATTAGAAAGGATACTAACAGTAGCAAAAAACCACAAGTGTGTAACCAACGCTATTGTGTATTTGTCTGAGAACCTCGGTAGCAATCGTCTCATATGTGACAATATCCAAAACACAAAGGCAGAGATTTTTTTTAAAAAAAGCCAACAAATGTACAAAACAGTACAATCAAAGGATGAGATATCTTGCTTCCCCGCTCCCTTGTTTACTGCTGTTGTAACAACTTTTAAAAATAAAAAAGAAATAGAAAGAAAAGCACTTAAAAAAATGAGGGAGTGAGAAAGGAGGGGAGGAAATAAACCATGCAGCACAGAATCAAAACAATTCTGTTAAGGCATATCCTTTCCCTTCATATTCCTTTAGAAAGCTGAAAATGAAGATTACGGATGGCATCCTGTAGTGCAGTGATTCCCAAACTCTGATCTTCCAGATGTTTTGGACTTCAGCTCCCAGAATCCTTAGCCATTTTGGCCAATAGTCTGGGATTCTGGGAGCTGAAGTCCAAAACATCTGGAAGGCCAGAATTTGGGAATCCCTGCTGTAATGGTTCCCAGCCTCTGGTCCTCTCCAGATGATTTGGACTTCAGCTCCCATCATTCCTGACTGTTGGCCAAGTTGGCTGGGACTTCGGGGAGCTGAAGTCCAAAACAAATGGAAAACCAAAGGTTGGGAACTACTGTATAATTCCTTGTAAACTAGACCTATGATCTTGCAACTGCTTTATATTCACATTTGCAATTGGGAGCACCATTGCAAATGCCCCAGAAACCCACCTTCAAAGCCAGTCAGCTGTCCCAAGCAAAAGAGTTTCGTGTTGCTGGCAAGAGGGGCATTGCAAGGTGGCATTGCCAGCTCCATCCTTCCAGTAAGCAATGATAAGAAAAGCAAAAACAGGGACCATTACAACCCTTTATTCCACTGTCATTCACTGGCAGGAGGCAGATGATCACATCATCTTATAGTCCCCAGCTTGCCAGCACTCCATAACTCTGGTGTTCAGGATGGCTGACTGGTTTGCAGTGGTTCCCAAATTTTGGTCATCCAGGTGTTTTGGACTTCAGTGCCCAGCATCCCTACGTTGCCTGAGACTGCTGGGAGTTGAAGTGCAAAACATCCCAAGGACCAGAGTTTGGGAACCATTGGGCTAAGGGATCAGATCAGGAGATGGAGCATAGCTACAATATTATAGCTCTGCCTCTGGTGCAATATCTTGGCCTACCTTTCTTCACATCTACTCTTCAACATTATAATGGCTAAATATTTCAGTGTTTGATCCTTTAAAGGAAAAATAACTGGCACTGGATTGAGTCATTCCCAATGCTGCAGATCAGAAAATGTTGCCAAAGCATTATGGAAACTCAATCAGTCTAACAATATAATCCTACACATGTTGATACAACACCCATTCCTATGATGTTCAGCGAGTGGGTCTTGGGCATATCCTTGCAGCCTAATGTCTTAGCCTGCATCCACACTGCAGAAATAATCCAGGTTGACACCACTTTAACTGCCATGGGTCAATGCTATGGAATGATGGGGTTAGTAGCTTTGTGAGACATGGAGCCATGGCAGTAAAAGCGATGCCAAAGTACTATAACTGTGTATTGTGAAAGAGAATGGAGTGGAAGAGTGTTCTAATATGCCTAGGATTGTGTTGTAAGGTCACCAATTTATGTACCTTTATTTGGATATACCAGTGAAGTCTAATGCATTTTTATTTGGAAGTATCCCTGATTTTAAAAGGATTTACTTTTGAGTAGACATGTAGAGCATTGTGTCTCCTTGAATCCAGGATGCCTCCGCACTGAAGAAATAATGCAATTCAACACCACTTCAACTTCCATGACTCAAGGCTATGGAATACAGGGATTTGTAGTTTGTTGTGGTGCCAAAGCTCTCTGACAGAGTGGGCAAAAAATCTCACAAAACTACAAACCCCAGAATTGCATAGCATGGAGCCATGGGCAGTTAAAGTGATGTCAATCTGCATTATTTCTTCAATGCAGATGCAGCCCTGTTTGGATTTATTTTTAATCAGGAATAC